GTAGGCGGGGGCCTAATTTTAAAAAGACGTACAAGTACGTCTTGTGGAATGAAAGAGTTAAATGGCCTCGTCCCACCTTACCTCTCAGAGCTCCTGCGCTCCTACGAACTTGCCCGATGCCTCAGGTCTGCAGACCAGACATTTTTAAAGGTACTAAGAACTAAGCGGAGGCTTTTCCATTGCTGGTCCCTCTCTTCGGAATGACCTCCCAATGAACAATCGGCAAGCCGCCTCGCTGCCCATCTTTAAAAAAACCTGTCTCAAAACTCATTTTTATTCTTTGGCTTTTAACTCAGCATGAGGCTTGATTTTTAGTTTGACTGTTTTTGTCCCCTCTACCGTCTTTGTTATGAACGTCTTGTTTTATTGTTTGTTGTTGTATGTTTGACTTTTGCTCCGTGTATACAGCGTTGGTTTAACCGTGAGAGCTGTGAGGTCATAATCAAAGCGCTTTTATCTGTAAAATGGCTAACAGCATCATCGTTTTAGTTACATATAACAACAGAACAATACACGTCAAATTCATTGTCACACATTGTCACTTTACAGGAGGCTCACCTCGCATTCTTCTCGGGGTCGGCGAAGTACTTGGGGATGAGCGAGAAGTACTTGCCCATCTTCAGCCACAAATCCGACTGGGGCACCCAGCCATTGTGAGCATGGATGGCGTGATACTTGGCAAGCTGTCTGGCAATGAGTCTGCCAAAGCCGACAATGCGATTTCATGAATGCCAAAATAATTGGAGCGTGGCTTTTTGTGTTTACAGTACTCCCCGTTCAGGTGTTTACAGTGTTTACAGCGGAGATACCTGAATACAGGCTGGCTGCGGATGTGCTCCGGCTCAAGGGCGGCGCCTTGAAGAAACTCGTAGCACAGGCCGTTGTTGAAGGTGCAGTAGAGGCGAGGGGCGCAGCGGTGCGCGTGCAGCACTCGGAAGCTCTTCACCTCGTTCTCGCGGTCGATCAGCAGCTCCGTCTTGTTCCCGTAGATACGAACCAGCACAACGTCCTGCATGGCCGCGCCCACGTAGCAGCCCAGGAGCTTATTGGTGATGCCGTCGGTGAAAAACTAGAAAAAAGGAAAGTTGAGGAAATGATTATCAACGCGTGTCTATTTTTTTTTTTTTTGCATGTTACATAACTTGAGAATGTGTGTTGGACTCCATTCAAGCCGTTCTGTTTTGAACCCTGGAGCATTTGTTTGAGCTGTGCTGCAGCCAGGGTATCAACATACCGGCCCTAATTGTTGCTTCTATGAGGCATCGACTGGGAATGACAGGAATTTTATTTTCATGCGGACGCAATGACCAGCGTTTGCTGAGTCCCCCATTTTTGCTCTCCACTAGCTCATTGATGAAGATGGGAAAAGAGGGTCAGGGGCATGTGACCGCCCCTGGTTGTGTTGACATTCCCTCCACCCTTCCACAACATAACTCTGTGTCTGAGTAGCGCTTGCTAAAATGCATGTCAGCTTCCAACTTTTGAATGGAACACCACCAACGCTGAACTGTTCATGGTTTAAAGAACATGAATTTGTATTTATTTATCCAGAGTCTCAGCTCGTCTTATGTATCAACCTGCTACATTTTTTTTGTGTATGTGTGTGGAAAAAAAATGGTTGAGTATTTTATTTACTCTACAACTGTTTGCTGCTGTCAAATATAGATGCAGTATTGCAAGGAACAATGTGGGAAAACCGGATCTTTTTTCCACCGAGGTGGGTGACAAATGCAAAAAAAGAAGGGAAGGGTGCAAAAAAATCGACTCACTTGACCCCACGTTATAGGGAGAGTAAATTTCAACAAACGAACTAAATTCTACTTCTAGTACGAATGACAGTGTTAAGTTTTTACCACTCACTGTGCAATTTGTGGTTACTGTTATGAGTGAGGAACTGCAAACCCACAGAATTGCATGTTACATAACTTGAGAATGTGTGTTGGACTCCATTCAAGCCGTTCTGTTTTGAACCCTGGAGCATTTGTTTGAGCTGTGCTGCAGCCAGGGTATCAACATACCGGCCCTAATTGTTGCTTCTATGAGGCATCGACTGGGAATGACAGGAATTTTATTTTCATGCGGACGCAATGACCAGCGTTTGCTGAGTCCCCCATTTTTGCTCTCCACTAGCTCATTGATGAAGATGGGAAAAGAGGGTCAGGGGCATGTGACCGCCCTGGTTGTGTTGACATTCCCTCCACCCTTCCACAACATAACTCTGTGTCTGAGTAGCGCTTGCTAAAATGCATGTCAGCTTCCAACTTTTGAATGGAACACCACCAACGCTGAACTGTTCATGGTTTAAAGAACATGAATTTGTATTTATTTATCCAGAGTCTCAGCTCGTCTTATGTATCAACCTGCTACATTTTTTTTGTGTATGTGTGTGGAAAAAAAATGGTTGAGTATTTTATTTACTCTACAACTGTTTGCTGCTGTCAAATATAGATGCAGTATTGCAAGGAACAATGTGGGAAAACCGGATCTTTTTTCCACCGAGGTGGGTGACAAATGCAAAAAAAGAAGGGAAGGGTGCAAAAAAATCGACTCACTTGACCCCACGTTATAGGGAGAGTAAATTTCAACAAACGAACTAAATTCTACTTCTAGTACGAATGACAGTGTTAAGTTTTTACCACTCACTGTGCAATTTGTGGTTACTGTTATGAGTGAGGAACTGCAAACCCACAGAATACCCAAACTATGACTATCTATGCCAGCGACGTAGAGTGACATGCAGAGGCATTAAAAGTATATCCCACTAGACGGCAGAAGGTAAATAATTAGTATTTACTCTATGAAATAATTACTAATAAGCACTCCCTTCAATCATTAAAAACACCGGTGGTTAGGGGTCAGAGTGTGTCCCTAATAAAGTGACCGACCCGTAAGGCGACCGGAGAAAACTCGCGAAGGTTTCGATCGTGACTTGGAAGTGACGCAGATGCTAACAGCGAGGGGGAAAATTACCACCTTCTCGGTTGTAATAATCCCACGAATAAAAACCATAATTTGTTATAAATTCATTTGTTATTCATTATCGGCACCGCATCTCACCAGTGGCCATTTTTTTTAAAAAAAAAAGGAAGTTGTCGTTTCGAGCCTTTAAGATATCTTGAATGCGCTTCCAAGAGCTTTAAGCTAGCGTGACTGCGTTCTAACTATCAAGGGTAAGGGGAAAATGACGTTCTACTAAAGACTTAATAACAAAAAAAGAAATAAACTGCACCTTTATTTTGACCTCGGAGGCTTTCCAGTTTGGTCTCAGCTCCTTGACCAGTTTCAACGCGCCGGTTCTGTAGTCTCTCTCCTCAACTGTCACGTCTATTTTGGGCACGGCCGGAGCCTCTTCGGGTACGTGAATGTAGTTGGCCATATTTATTCTTTTTCTTAGGTGATTTTTCGTAACAAGGTGGTAATACGATCGAGAGGCAAGCGATATGAAGGAAGATCGTGTGACAGTACGCTGCATATAATCTCGGTTGTGAGGACAGAATGCGGCAACGCCTCTCCAAATGCCCCCGCCCACTAAGGGGAAAAGTTCTCCCGGTGCATGATGGTAGTCGAATGTTACGTGGAGCGCTTGATTCAAATGACAGCGTACACCACGTTTCATACGTAAGGACCACTCTTGTCATTCCGACCAAACTAAGGTGTTTACAATTGTATTCATGCCCTTTCGGGAAATGTGTGCTTATTAAAATAAAAATACTGTATTTTATTCAACAACAGCATTGTTAATATATACACTGGGGCTGAGTGTTTTTTTACGTAAGACCAAACGGCACTCCCTGGTTATGACACAAGCGTACACGAGTTCAAGTTTTCCGGGCTATTGACGTCACATCCGTAAGCCACTTCGAATCGGGTGAGCTGTGCGTCTGGACGCTTGAAATGTCAGCTGCTGAGCTGTTGATCCAAGTAGGAGGACATGGAGATGGCAAATCCACTTTGCCTAAATGGATCGCGTTGTCTAGTGGCACAGACGACACATTTAACCCTTTACTGTTCGTATTCAATGCACACGTAGTATGCTCTGGGTCACCTTTGACATGGGCCAAGGAGAATGCAGTCGGTGAGCCTTTGTGACATTTTCTGCGAAAAATAAAAGTGTTCTTTGATCTGTTTTACCGTGACATTTCAAAGGCCAATAGGTGCATGTCTGTTTTTTTTGTTTTTTTTAGTGAATCTGTGCAAACGTCAACGCAAGACAGTTCGAAGGATAGTTTCAAATTCCCTAGAGCGCACACACGTGGAATCCGCAGTTTCAATAAAGTGCATTTCAGTAGCGTCACGTGTGAACTAGGACAATCTTAGTGCACACAAAGTTTGTGTCACACCCGTACAATTCCTCTCGGGTCAAATTTGACCTGTGTAAGGGTTAAACGGCAACAAAAAAAAAAAGCACTGAGGAGCTGATAAGCAGGATACATCTGCAAATGACATAACTTGATAGTAACGCATTCTTTGCACTGCCTGAACTAACACGTCATAATGCTGAAACAGCATGTTGGCCATAACTGAACGCCCTGTTCCCAAACCAGCAGCATAATAAGACTTTTTTTGTGGTTCCACAGGCTGGATAAGAATAGGATAAACATGTGACTACTCGGGAGAGGAGTCAAAATGCTCTTTGTGACATGGTCATGCACAAATAAGATCAAGATTCGAGATTAACCTGCTAATTAGGCCGTTGCTAAGGCAAATACAACCTTAATTCCCTTTTGTCTGTTATCGTCACACAGCTATTTGATTAGCCTACTTTGTACCCAAACACCGTCCTGCTCTGACTCATAACTTCAACTTCCTGCGGATGAACTAACAAAGTATCATGTCGCGTGAATACTCGCTGGAAATGTTGCAGGCGTCAAATGTTTCATTTTTAGGAGTAAAAAAAACAATTCAACGCGATCACCTAACTCGAGAGCCACAAAATCAATGTGTGCAAGTTCCAATTGTTGAGCCGCTGACCTGGAAAACAAGCGACCCAAAACGCGACATAATGTGGAAAAAGATGGACGACTTTTAATTGAGTAGCTTCAATAAATCAATCTTTCCAATTGCCTTTTCAATACTTCTCCTGTGTGAAATGTGATGTCGTTAGCTTTTTTTTTTAAAAGTCAAAGCTTCCCATAGGAAATTCACCAGAATTTTTCTAGCCCTTTGACCGTACTCAAAAACAGATCCTTCATTCATTACTCATATTTTACACATATATTACATATTTTGCTTTTAGGCTTCAAAGAAGCGACTGTATATATTTGGAAAAAAAAGTCCCAAGTCATTTTTCCGAAAGCAGAAGTCAGCTGCTCCTTTTGCTCAATCAAAATAGTCCTCTATATCGATGTTGGGGTTGAGAAGATCCTCGCCGTATGGTGTGAGATCCATCTGGTTCAAAATTAGGTTCTCGAAGGTCTCCTCTAAGTCGGTTTCCCCGATGAGCACGGCTCCGACCATCCTGCCGCCTTGTAGAACCACCTGCAAAAAAAAAAACGAGTTTAGAATTATGTGTTGTCTGACCTAAGTTTGCACCCGTTTCCTGTTGGGTTGAATATCACCTTGACATATTCCTCGCCTTTGGTGTAACGCAGCAGCAGCTCATAGTCGGACCCCAGACCTTGCGCGTTAAACTTTCCGAGCAAAAACACCTGCGCCGAAACAGTTTTGTGACTTGTTTTCTGACGCAGCCGGGCGATCGGGAAAATCTTGTGGTACGACCTTGGACGCGATCGGTGTTCAATGTCACATACCTTGTAGTTAAAGAATTTCGTAATGTGGGAGAAGAGCTCGAAGCAGAAGTCCAGCTCGATGGTTTCCGACAGCGCACACGCGGCCATGCAGCGGCCAGCGTGCCAGCCCATCTGACGAGCCTGCGTCCACAAACGCATCTGCAAGAGGTCCGTGATGTCAAAAGTGTACGGTCCTTTCTTGAACCGTGATGTCGACTTACCTGCTGCCACAGCGGGCTGTGATCCCAGCATGCCGTGCACACGTCTCCGGCGGCGTAGACGTCGGGCTCCGATGTCACCATGTGGTCGTCCACTCGGAGGCCGCCGTCATCGGCCAGAGCAAACTTTACCAGAAAAAAAAAATGTGTTGAAAGATAGTATTTTAATTTGAATTATGTTTAAAAAAAAAAAAATTGTGAATGGAATGATGCAAAATACTGTTTAAAATTGCTTCTGTGCTATAGTGACATCTAGTGGCTAGTAACGTAATTTAAGCACAGTTGGACAGTTTAATTTTGTCAACTGAGTATTTAAATTACCGTAATTTCTGGACTATAGACCGCACCTGATTATAAGCCGCACCACTACATTTTTAAAGGAAAAAAAAAATTTTGTACACACATAAGCCGCACCTGTGTATAAGCCGCAGGTGCCCATTTTGTAACATGAGATATTTACAAAGAAAGACGGTACACAGGCGGCCGTTAGAAAAGTCTTTATATAAGCCGCTTCATGAAATAAGCCGCAGAGTTGAAAGCGTGTGACAAAAGTCGCGGCTTATAGTCCGAAAATTACGGGTATTAAGAGCCCTATCATATTTGTTGCAGTTTTTTTTAATGGGGTCAGTTAATCTCATTCAACAAATGTATTACCGTCAGTTCCAATGTGTTTTTATTTGAGCCTTTAAAGGAAATTATGGATGATTGGAAATTTTCCGGATTAAGAGCACTATCATATTTGTTGCAGTTTTTTTAATGGGGTCAGTTTATCTCATTCGACAAATGTATTACCGTCACTTCCAATGTGTTTTTATTTGAGCCATTAAAGGAAATTATGGATGATTGGAAATTTTCCGGACGTACGTCAAATGAAGATGAGTCTACGTACGTTATTGCCGCGCAGAAATGGCTCCGTGTTCGGTATGACACCCGTGGCGCTGACGACAAAGTCGCAGCCGAACGTCTTGCCGTTGGTCAGCAGGACGTATACGGGCCAGGTTCCTTAAGGCGGGAGGAGGAGAATGTCAGGGAAAGGCAACTGGAACAACTGAGCTTTAGTCGGGAGTGTTGAATCACGTTCAGCATGAGTTAAAATGAGATCGGTTAATTCTGAACACAGCCACAGTCCCAGTTTATACGTGGGTGTGAACACTTGTGCAACCCCGTCACAGTTGTTTAGTTTTGCTTTTGCATCGAGTTTTGGATTTATTTTTCTTAATTTCCAGTTTATAAGTGGGTGTGAACACTTGTGCAACCCCGTCAGTTGTTTAATTTTTCTTTTGCATCGAGTTTTGGATTTATTTTTCTTAATTATTTATCATTGTCTTTTTTTTTTTTTTGGCGACACAAAAACCTGGTAGTTGAACAGGGGTGTGTAGACTTTTTCTATCCAGTGTATAGCTAGTTCTCACCGGTATCGGGTCCACGTGTTTGCGATTGGGAATTGAGCATCTCCTCAGAGGTGAAGATCGTTCTCACCTCACACTGATATTCCACCGAAACCCTGCGGGACGCCTGACCGCAGCACGGAGAAAAATTTTTTTTAAAAAGGGTCAAGAGCGTTTTATTTCCAACAGAAATAAACATATCACGTTTTAAGATGAGATTCCAAAACAAGAGCTTTGCAAAGGTCCTCACCCACTCCGCTCCTTTGAGAACTAATCCTCGGTGCCAGTCTGGACCGAGTGCACTGCCAGGCTCCGTGGGACCGGAGCCGCGTCCTCGCATGTGGCGATCTGGAAACAAACGGCACACATGAGTAGATGGGCCGAGAAGAAACTTTTAGAATCCAGACCTGAGGTGAACGTCTGAGCCTCGCCGTCCGTCGGGTAATCTGTGGTGTAGCGAGTCCTCTTGCAGGCGGCCTCTCGCTCGGGTTTGTCGGCGCCCAGCGACGGGATGAGGAACTGCGCCGCCCCAGCGTCGAAGAAAGTGTTTCCGATGGTCTTGTCCTTCACGGCCCAGATCACCTCGCAGCCTTCCACCTCATACCTGCACGAAACGTCATTTGCATTTTGATTTGCGGGGGAAGCTACTAACTGTTATTTGCTGATAACTTGACTTTATTCAAGGTTTTGTGCTTCGACCAAAGCTATGTGTAATATCAACATAGTGCTTTGGCGCCATCTTATGGGAACAATGATGACGTGAAGTGAGGAACGTCAAGGACAAAGCCTTGTCTCATAGGGGAAAAAAAAAGTGCTTTGTCGCTACCTTCCCGCATTGTGTGTCAAGGAACAACGTTGAAGTGAATTGAGGAGTTTCATTTGGGCAAAAAAAAATATTCTCCCTCCACCACCCACCATCTTGTGCCTTCTTTCTGTTACAAAACTATGGTGAGGGCGAGTCATCTTCTTATCGAGGAACTATGTTGAAGTGGGCTGTGGCGTTTCATTTCGACCAGTCCGTAGTGCAATGTTGTAAGTTGATCAATATTTATTTTTTTTGTTTTCTTTTATGTTAATCGGGATACAATGTTGTGCAGCGGTGTACTTATTACAATTTTATAGCCAAACGATACTCTAAATTTAGAGTCGCAGCAGAGAGTTGGGTGTGGGGGGGCGCACAAAATGCTTTGTTCTTCTGAGGAGGGGACATCACAGCAAATAATTGCACTGATTTAGACAAAAATAGTTACTTTCTGCCATCCTGTGGCATCTCGGTGTTATGAAAACTATGTTGAGGTGAGTCGAGGAGTTTTATTGAGACAAAACTAGCCATTTGGAGGCAGTCTGGTGTCAATTACGGACAGATTTTTCATATTCGCGACAGGGGAAATAATTTTGTAAAAATGATGAGTTTTGGTCCATTTGGCGCGAAACACACGTACTCACACTAACTCCAAGGCGATCCCTCCATTTCCAACAACAACAATCTTCCTGGCTTTCGTTAACTGCTTCTGAAACTCCTGAAATACAAGCAAATGTGATACTATGAGTGTGTTGGACTGGAAAGTTATCCTTTCTGATAAGATTCTAAAATGTCAAATATTCTGCCAGATGCTGTTGCTTGGAAATTTATCCAACAAGGGAAAAAAATACATCAAGAGGAGACTGTTTTTATTTGCATAACCGACTTCCAGTTACGAGGTGATAGACCTCATTAGTTCGGCCTCGTCTGGAATATCACAGCTGCACATTAAAGGCAAAAAATATATATTAAAAATTCCAAAAAATGTAAAACGTAGTAGTTACCTGGGCACTGTCTGTGTCGCGAATACCGAGCACATACGGTTTGTCCTGGATGAGCAGCTTCGGTCTGGCCCCGCTGCAGATGCACAGCTTCTCATAGCCGTAAACTTTTCCATCTGCAGTTTCCACCAACTGGAAAACAAAATAAATATTTGATCATTTTTGGGGGTTGGTGAATATCATCATTTTCTTTCACAACGAAGGCATTTCAAAATTTTTTTTTAGTTTTCGTGTAGTGTGACCGTGTTGCCACAAGGCGGAGACATTTTGACAAAATATAAATAGCTGTCGTAAAAGTCATTCTAAATATGATTTAAAAAATACCAAATTGCTTTTGAGCACAGCCAAAAACGGATATTTCAGCCATAGTTTTTTTTTTTTGTAAAATTAAATTAATTCTTGACCAGTTCCCAGTTAACACAACTAGCACGTTCTCCTGAGCAAAAAAAATCCACCAATAGCATTGATTTGCAAATATATTAAGTATATTATAAAATATAATTATAAATCCTTTCCAAACCGTAAGAATCTTACATGCGATCGTGTGTTCAGTGTGTTCACAGCAGAGTGAATGACAGTCAAATTGGGGAATTTCTCCTCCAGAACACTGGTTGGTTGCTCCTCCACATCAAACTCCTCCAGAACCTTGGCGACCTTTCAAATAGCAAAGCCATGGCATAAGGATGTGTTCAAACGCAATGTGGTCATTAACTATGGGAGTAAAATCTGACATAATCTTTGTCTGACCTGTTTATAGTTGGTGACTGCCTTTATGTGAGGGCTTGCGGTAATCAGAGCTACGTCAGCTGACTGTAAACTGTATGACAACTGTCGACACACACAAATGCCACGTTAAGCAATTCCGCATCTGTAGACGAGATTAATACGGTTATATTGGTATTGGTGCTAATATTTCACCTGCTCAACACACGTCACCCCCGCGATGCCACCACCGACGACGACAAATTTGAACGTTTTCTCGATTTTATCTGCCATGGTAAAGCTAAGCTAACTTGGTGGGAAACATTTCTTAGCGCTAGAATACGCTTGAAATATGTTTCTCCGGATACTTCAGTGCGATAATATGAAACTACCATACTCGAAATACTGACTGAATATTTTAAAGTTGTCCTCTGGCAAATTAGAAGAATTTTTGTTATGCTACACGCAAATTGCAGCGATACAGTCAATTCACTTCCGTGTTTACATGAACTACGGCGAGCGATAAGGGCAAATTCAACAAATGAAGACTTTTTACGCGATTGCAAAAACAACCAAAGATATTATAAATTCCTGTATTCGGAACTTTGATTTGAAGACAGTTTAAATGCAATAAGTGTACAGGACATGATGTTGGTAAATCTAAATGTTTTAATGTAATTGATTTCTGCAGCATGTACCACAGATGATGTGTTATTTTTCCATATTTAACAGACAAACAAGTACTAAAAATGCAACAAAAAGTTACCGTGTAGTTTTTAGATGGCATTATATAGTGTGTTCATGTATAGTATCATCCTTTTTTTTCACTAGCAGCACTCAGCTGCATTAAAAAGCTTACATTTGATGATTTTTCTCATTATTCCTGGCCATGAGGCATCCCCCATTGTTTGAATTTTGATGACAAGTGCACCTATAATGTCGGAGATTAATGGGGCCACCTGTGCATGAATTCGACATGACGCTTCCATCAGCCTACATTAGCGCAGTGATATAAACATCCCCACGCCGGATGCTGTCTGAAGTGCAATGCAATTTGTGTGGGTTTTTTTTTTTTTCATAAAGTCATCAACCGATCTTGACATAAAATATGTTGTGCATTTTTTTTAGAGATTCATCAGCAAAAGCTGGCACTTATTTTATTTTTATTTTTTTCCAGAAACCTTTTATGTCCATTTTAACCATGTATATGTCATCGTCTGGGATGATCAGGTCACTGGTAATCCAACACGGGTTAATGTCATGCGTCATACGTTCCCTCTTGACGTTCATTATAATACCCAAAATAACCCCAGCTGGAAAAAAAAAGGCATGCCTCTTATCAGTGGCATTCCATATTTCTTGAATTATTTTTCATGCACCCAGTATGATTTTGTGAATCACCTCATGACATAAAATTTTTTGACGGTCAAGCCAACCAAAAAAAAAAAAAAACCCTCCAAAATTAGGTTTGAGATTTGTTGCAAATCCCTCTCGTTGTTTGGAGCTGACATAATCAAGGAAAATACTGAGAAAAAAATTTATATGCTATTAATCATTGCCCAGGGAAATTCAAGAGGGAATAATACAGCATACCGATTGTTTTCTTCAATTCGGCCGATGTTCCTTCGACTGAAACCGTCAAAGCTTGTTTCTGTGTGATTTTTGTAGAACAGGTTATGAGTAATTATTCTAATTCGAAAATAATTCCAGGAAGGTGAATGAGATGCTAATTCTTCTAAAAAAAAAAAGTATACTGCACGCAAACAGTGGATAGTTATATTTTATTTCAAAAAAAACTTTTTTAAGAATCCAGGCGTTCAATCCCAGGTACGTGTTTATGTTTTTTTTTTTTTAATTCACGTAATAGAGTAAAGAATTAATGAACAAATAATCAACTTCATAGCTGCTGTGCTTTTTATTGCTATTTTTATTTTCACATCACGTCACTGTGGAAGAGCGCATGAACACAATGAACACGAGGCTTAAAATTCATATTTATTGTACAGTCATCATCAGACGGTCATCACTGGTTTTTGTCGTCTGTTCTAGAGCGGAAAGTAGTAGTCGGGAGGCAGAAGTAGTTCCCGCTTGCCATAGGTGGTAGATCCCACGTTGGTCGGCGCATACACGGTACCGATGGTGTTACTGGAACGCACCAGAAAGTCTGCTAATCTTTGGGTGACGCAGGTGGCCGTGTTGCACTTTCTCTTCTGGATGAGATGGCTAAAAAAAAAAAAAATGACAAGAGGATGTGAGATTCTCCTCAAAAAAAAAACACCAGATTGACTTCACTCATAGAGATAATCCACCTGTTCTTATCCGGGACCTCTCGAGTGGCTATGAGGCCGAGGAAGGGGTTGGAGAAAGGGAACATTGGCACGGAACTTTCTCGGCCATCTGGCAGCAGGGCACTCTCCTCCTCGCCGAATGAGCTGGAACTGGAGTGTCTGAATCACAAATGAGAAACGGTGTCGTGCGGAAAGCTTGATGACCAACCTCTTTGGAACTACAGTCCCAAGGGGGAAGAAGGAAAAAGTGGCCACTTAAATCGCCCCTAACCCAACCCCTCTCATTTCACTCCACAGCTTCTCAGATGAGCGCAATTTTCGACGCCCACATCATCTCGGAGCTATTCTGCGTCTAGCCCGTGTGGGAAAAAAAAGAAATAAAAATTCAACCGTAGGACTGTTTGGGCTGCGTTCATTTCACTAACCTGTTGCTCGGGGCAGCGGCGATGCAACGCAGCAATACAAACAGGAGTAAGATGAGCGCCGGCATCCTCGGGTGATGCATGGTGACGGATCTGCAAAGGGCGGGAAGAAAAAAAAAATGCAGATTGTAATTTTGAGGTGTGTCGAGGCTAATACGAGAACACGTGAATGGGAATAATTATCGGCTGCAGCTTTGATGATGTTGAAAAATTTGGCACAATTACAGACAATAATATTCATGATACTAATATGATATTTTAAAACCCTTTCAGGGACAGCAGTCACTACATTGGACATCTTATCATGTTGTCAGGTTATCATTATCAGTGCATGAAAGGGTTAAACTCCACTTGACCGATGTGATTTTGTGGTTTAAAAAAAAAAGAAAGAAAGAAAATGGTGCGTCTTAGAAATGTTATGAAATCAATTAATAATATTTGACTTTGGAAAAAAGTAAAGGCAAATATATATAAAAGTGAGTGAACCTAACGATCAAATGTTGAGACTTTAAATAATATCGAAATTTGATATCATTTCAAATAAAAATAAAACTAAAAATCAGAAGGCAACATTTTTGTGGTAATAAAAATCCAAGAACATTGAAAATGGATTAAAATGCTAAAAAAAAATCCCAAAGTACATCTATTAATAAAATATCATAAATATTGTACAGTTGCAGGTTGTGGATCATTTTGTATGATAATCAAATTTACTCTGCATTTTATAGCCATTTCTTAAAATGAGCGTTTTTTTTTTTTTTCAATTAAAAAAAGTAGACAGACAAAAAGAATGTATACTGTACATCCATTGCATAACATTTTGCTTGTCGATTGCGGCCAAAAGAATGTATACTGTATATCCATTGCATAACATTTTGCTTGTCGATTGCGGCCACCTACTTTTGAACAGAGACCCTCTCGCTTGTGCACGAGGATTCAAAGATTAGTTGACACACACACACACACACACACACAAAAAAAAAAACAATTTAAAAAGTCAACTTACATTGCGTCGCTGATGCCGAACTGGAGCCTGATCTAACGTGGAGCCGTTCACAGCTTTGCCACGCTGTCTCCCGATGCGCCGACACTTATAGGTGTCGCGCTCCAACCACTTGTGACATCAGTTCTCCATATATAGCTGTTTTTTTTTTCCCATTCACAATGAATGTGATTGATTCAGGGATATGTGTGTGTGTGTGTGTTGCATGGCAAATATATGCATAGCAGTGTTTTAAAGTCACGCCCTTCAGCACTTGCCCGCCAACTTTCACAGCACTCACACCCACACCGAAATCCGTCATCCGCCACCATCCCCATCATCGGTGTGACAAATGGGACTGACCCTTCTGAAAAACGAAACCGCGGAGGAAGGCTGGCGTACCTCCGGGGTGCTTTCTGAAGTTTTAGGTCGCCTCAACTCTGACCCTTCCTGCTTCGCTCTGGACTTCAGTTGACGATGAATAATGAATGGTGTGCTATTACTGTCATTAATAATGAAGGGTGGCTCATTATTTTGAGAGGACAAGTCACAACAAGTGAGAAAGTATAAATTACAATAGCACTGAACCGAATCTTTTTTTTTTCAAATGTATTTCTTTGCCATGTACAGAATGTTTTGACTAGTGTCAGAAATGAATAATATGGAAAAAAGTGCTCATTTTTGAACCAAAAAGTCACTTTTTAAAGTACTAGGCCATAGGTGTCAAACTCAAGGCCCGGGGGCCAGATCTGACCCGGCACATCATTTTATGTGGCCCGCAAAAGCAAAACAAACATGTCAACTTTCATGATGCTTGCTAAGATCTCGACCAAAATTTAAAATTCTCATATTTAATAAATAAGAGAGATATTGCAAGCATTTTCTTGTTACCAAACACTTATTACAGTAATTTAAACAATAGTTGAATAGACCGTTATTACTGACTTTTTGATAGGTTTTCAGTCATAACGGCCCTCCAAGGGAAATGGGAACTAAAATGTGGCCCACGACAAAAATGAGTTCGACACCCTGTAATAGGCGTTACACGATCAGAATTTTGAAGCCGGTAACCGATCAGTGTGTTTAACCCTTTTGGGGAAAGCGGTTACTACAGTGGACAGGTTTTCATGTTATCAGGTTACAGGGTGCAGGAAAGGGTTAAAAAAAAAGTCTATTTAAACAATTTATTTACTCTACAGTTGATCACTGCACATGGCGGGGTATTGCCAGCAGCCCGCCCCACGAATCGCAAAAATCCACATCTAATTGTCGTCCTTTGAAATGCATTAGGTGAAAAATAAAAACAATTAAACCCCCAAAATTCTTCCCAAATGAAACGGTTTAGGAAAGAATTGGATGGCGATCAGATCCCACAAACATAGACAAACAAAATCCGTACAAAAAAAATTCTTCCCAAATGAATTGGAAAGAATTGGATGGCGATCGGATCCCACAAACATAGACAAACAAAATCCGTACAAAAAAAAAAAAAACCTATATATATATTTATGCGGGTTCAAAATAACCAGGAAAAACGATCCCATTAACAAAAAGCTCTTGCAAAGGCAAGGAAATAGAAACTCTCGATATTATCAACGAAACGACTGGAGTCCAATTTCGCGAAACAAAAACATAAAAAACAAAATAACAAATATGCACAAGGCGACAGGCTATAGAGCAAAAATGACAATGACAAGCTGGAGATGTCTACAAAACAACTTGAGCAAGAGCAGCAACAAGGTCAATAATCCGACACGGATTTGGCACTTGGGAAGTCCTTCAATCCATGGTTTAACTTCATGAACAAATTGGCAGCGGGTGTGCGCGCTGGAGGGAAAGCCCTCCTCTGCCACCTGCCGGAGACACACAAGAACAGGATCATGACACCAAAATGCCGACAATCGTTCGATACACGGAAAATGAGAAGGAAAAACCCGACCCCTGCCGCGCGAAAAATCCACATTTAACAAAATGTAAAAAAAAAAAATATATGTATATGATGAAACACCTTGAATTATGATTTTGTGGATCCAATCACAGACATCAGTGATTTATCAGCAAATGATGACATTACAACTGACTAGCGGATCATCTTTTATTGGAAATAAATGCATTGCCCTAGCCGACCCACTGCCTAAGATTTCCTCACACACACACACACACACACACACACGCACACACACACACACACACACACACGCACACACACACACACACACACACACACACACACACACACACACACACACTTCCCCACCTTAAAACAATGCCACTCACACACCGAGCCTGAAAAACAAATATGAGTCCATGAAATGAAAATGACCTTGTTCATGTGGGCTGATGCTTTGTTTAAGGTTTGACGTTATAAATATGCAAAAATATGCCATTTTCACTCCACTTTTGACACCACCGATGTATATCGCACCCATTTTTGCATTATTGTGTAAGATCTTTGGGAGCACGAATGAGCTGGCGCGATACGGTTAGGCCGCTGTTCACCCAGAGATTTTGTGGCTCTGGTCATCGGGTTCACACCAACACGAGTTGATTATTTGAACAGATATGAGAAACAATTATTCTCCTTATTTGCTGCAAATCTTATTTTCTTGTGTTTTTTTTGTGCCCAGGTCAAAGTATTCCGCTGTCGCCATTTTGTGGCCTCATCCCACCAAGCGATCTGAAGTGAGTTGAGGCGCTTCATTTTAACACAAGTAATGCTTCTCCGGCATCCTGTGGCATCTCTAGCCGATTATACTTCTTATGTCCAAGATCAATAAAACACAGTTCAGCCAAAAAAAAAAAAAAAGACTTCAGTTGGAATGGGTTGTTTTCAAATGAGTTATTTTCACAATAGTCAGTTTCTTCGCAGGATGTTCCGCTTCGGCCTTTTTGCCAACTTTGCGGTCGTCCTCGTCGCTTCTTGACCTGAGTCTCTCGGCGGCCTCGTGCGCGTTACATTCAGCGTCAAAGCCGTTGTTGGGAACCCCCTCGATATCCTTCGAGGCCCTTGCGCTGAGTCGATCACTTGATTGGATGCAAAGTTCCTTTTGCTTGGGGGTTTTGGGCTCATCCTGCTCCTTCCGAAACTGCTTTCGGAGGAAGATGATCACAGCGAAGGTGAAAAAAAAGGAGACGCCACTGATACCAGAGACCAGACCCAGGAAAACAACCCTGCAAATAGGATGAAGTTAATGGCACATATGTTCCTAATAAAAATGCTATTTCTGATGTCATACCGATACATATCTGAATCATAAAGGCGACACGCCCCTCTGCCGCCGCACTTTTTCACCGACCACTTCAGGCACGTCAAATCGATAAACGCCCCGAAATAAATCGGCGCTGGAATTCCACCTGCGGAAAAGCGAATCATCAACCGTCAATTCCAAATCGTCAAAAAAAAAAAATAATTAAGCAGATATCATTGTCAGCTCATACCGAGAACCCGAACGATCATGGTCTGCATTCCCAGGGCAAGGGATTTAAGATGCGGGGAGATGCATCTGTAATAACAATAACAATGCATTTTTTTCATCTGTCCATCCATTTTCTGATCCGCTTTTCCCTCACATTGGTCGCGTGGCATGCTGGAGCTAGCCGACTTCGGGCGGTATGCGGGTTGCACCCTGAACTAGTTTCCAGTCAATCGCAGGGCACACATGGACGAACAACCATTCATGCTCACACTCACACCCAGGGATAATTTAGAGTGTTCCATTTGCCTGTCATGCATGATTTTGGAATGTGGGAGTACCCGGAGAAAACCCACACAGGCAAGGAGTGAACATGCAAACTCCACACAGGAAGGTCGGAGCTGGAATCGAACCCTGCACCTCTGCACTGTGATATTGACGCGCTAACCAGTCGACCACCGGCCCGCTACGTTTTTGTTTTTGTTTCCCCCCC